GGATTTTGTTTTATCCCACTCGATGAACTCTCCTTGTCTGATGTCAAAGCAAAACATTTAACTTTGATACTTGACTGATCCAATTTCTCATTTCGATCGTTAGGAATACCACTAAATTGAGGATTTTCTGTTTTTATCGTCGAGATATCGTAAACGATAATTTTTTACTTCTCGCATATATATATATATATATATATATATATATATATATATATATATATAATATATATATATATATATTATATATATATATATATATATATATATATATCCTTCGTCAGAAATACATTGTATTATGAAAATATATCCATTCTCATTCATATCTTTTCTACATGTATATATATATATATATATGTATAATAATATATATATATATATATATAATATATATATTATATATATATATATATATATGTATATATATATGTGGTTTGTGTGTGTATGTGTGTGTGCATGTGTGTGTGTGTTGTGTGTGTGTGCGTGTGTGTGTGTGTATTTATATATATGTATATGTGTGTATATATATAGTAGTATATATATATATATATATATATATATATATATATATATTATATATATATATATATGTATGTATGTATGTATGTATATATGTACATTATACACACACACACACACACACATACACACACACACACACACACACACACACACACACACACACACACACACACACACACACACACACACACACACACACACACACACACACAACACACACATGTAATATATATATTATATATATATATATATATTATATACTATATATTATATATATATATTTAATATATATATTATACTTTATATATATATATATATATGTATATATATATATATATATATATATATAGTATAGATAATATAATATACTATATATATAATATAATATTAATATACTATTATTAATAACATATCAATAATATCTAATACATATATATATTATTTATATTTATATAACATATATATATTAATATATATATATATAATATATATATATATATATATATATCATTATATCTATCTATCTATCTAATCTATCTAATCTAATCTATTATATCTTATATAATTAATTATAATATATATATATATATAATAATATATTAGATATATATATAATAATATTATATATATATATACAAGTAATTGTTATATATATATGCATTTATGTGTAATATATAATATATATATATATCTATATACTATTATATATATATATATATATATAATATATATGATAAATATATATATATATATATATATATATATATATATATATATATATATATATTACATAATATCATATATATATATATATTAATAATATATATATATATATTATATATTTATATATTATATATTAATATATTACTAAGTATATTTACCATATAATATTTTAAGTCATATGGATATAGTTACTTAGTATATAAGAAAAATAGTACTATATATATTTATTTATATAAGTGAGGGTTATTATTTAATACATAGGATAGTAAGATATTAGTATGTGTGTGTGGTGTGTGTTGTGTGTGGTGTGTGTGGCTGTGGTGTGTGTGTGTGCAATTTTTATATATATTGTTTATATGGTATGGGATGGTAGTATAGTTATTTAATAGGTAAGACTAATATATTATATATAATATATGCTCGATAATATACATATAAATACCCATATATAAAACACACAACCATATACTATATATATATATTATTTGTATGTATGTATAATATAATACACGACACACACACACACATACACACACACATCACACACACACGAACACACAGAGTTAGTTGCGATACGGACAAACACATGTATATATATTAGATATATATATACTATATATATATAAGTATATATATATATATAGGTTTATCATATTATATTAAGTATACATATATATATATATATATAGTATAGTATGATATAGTTATATACTAATATACTATACGCCAATTATATATATGTATATATATATAATATTAGTGTACTAGATATAATATAATATATAATATATTATATATATATATAATAGTACTATATTTATATAGTAAATAATTAATATTTAAAGCTAAATTTAAATTACATATATATTATATATATATATATCATATACATATATTATAGTAGTATACTATATATATTATATATCATATATATATGAACACATGTATACACTGAGTATAATATATTATAATTATATATATAAAGTAATCACTAGATATAAATAATTGATGACTATATAGTATACTATAAACTAATATACCTAATTTAATATAATACATGTATGTATGTATATATTAATGTATTTATGCATTTATGTGTGTGTGTGTATATATACTTATATATATTATATATATATTATATATAATATATATATACAATATAAGATATAGTACTATATATATATAAATAATATATATACTATATATATACTAATAGTAGTATAATAGGTACTATCTAAAACTAATATATATAACTAATAACTTCATAATCATATTTCACACGCTATACACTCATATAGATATATCGCCTCGTGTGTGTGATGGTGCTGTCGGAGTGTGTGGTGTAATGTGTGGTGTGTGCGTCTGTGTGTATACCTGAATATTGTATGTATGTTTGTATGTATATGCGTTTTGTCGTATATAATGTATAAATATTATAATTATATATATTACTATATATAATATATATATATATATATATATATATAGTAACATATAGTACATACATTGCATATATATAATAATATATATATATATATATAATATAGTATATATATATACATTATATATATACATTTATATACATATATAATATATATAATAGTATATACTACCAGGTACAATACTATACATATAATAGTACTAGTATCAAATTATTATAATACATAAGCTATTAAACACTAACACATCACAGACGACTATATATATATATGTACACACTTAGTATAATAACTCATATTTATATATATATACGTAATAAATATATTATATATATATTAGAGTTATATAATAATATCAATATAATATAGTATTGATATAACATATATAATTATCCGCAATATATATACATCGGCTGTCGAACTCTAAAACATTGCTCTAATCTACGTTTCGACTTGACACAGGGCCCCTTTTTGTACAATCCTGAGCACTGTATCGCGGCAAACTCGAGTGGAGAAGATGCCTTATTTTGCATGTGTTCACTCTTCTCATATACTACAGTCAATGCAAACGCATACACACACACATGCTTCTCGGTCTCATCTCAATTGTCTCTTCTCAGTCCAGCAACACACAGACTCACCACAACACACACAGCACACAGACACAACGACAACACACAACCACGACACACACAACACATGCATCTACTGGCACACACCACACACACACACAACACCAAACGCCACACACACAGCACACACACACAACCGAAGGAAGCACGACACAGCAGCGTCGATTACACACAATGAATACCTTATGAGAATATCTTGCGATACAATCACGAACACATGCACAACATAGCACACACACAACACACTACATTCACACAAACACGAGGCAACTATATATGTGTACTCTAAATATATTAAACATCACTCAATAGTGTGTATATATATATACTATATATATATATATATATATATATATAATATATATATATATAATATAATAACATATATATGTTAATATGTGTATATATATATATATATATATATATATATATATATAATATCTATATATATATATATATATATATATATATATATATATAGTATATATATATATAATATATATATATAATAATATATAGTATATTATATATATATATATATATATATATATATATATATATATATATTATATATATATATATATATATATATATGTATGTATATATGTATGTGTCTGTGTGTGTGTATATAGATGTAGATAAATGTGTATATATATACATATATAAACATATACATATGGATTTATATATGGCATCTACATTAGATAAAGCAATTAAATATAGATGTTGATAAAAGTAATCGTTAGAATGTGCGAATGATTATGTCATATACATGAATTCGTGTGTTCGTGTATATGCCGTATGTATTACTGTCTATTACCTTTTCTCTGGTTAAGCTGGAATTCCAAATACCAGACGCACACACACACACACACACATGTGCGCGCGTGTAGACACATTCACATAAATAATTTTGACACCAAGACTCTGCTCAGGGAGGTAATTTCAGATATGATAATTACAGAAAATGATACCAGATACAATACATGTGTACGTACTGTTACTATAATAATGTATGGCTCCCTAGTTACTACAAAACATAACTGGCAGACTCTTCCTATAATTCATTCATATCATTGATATAAGACCTAACGGCATATGAGAAGCCTTCGCATTCCAGAATACAAACATAGATACAAAATATATATATATATATAATATATATATATATATATATATATATATATTATGTATGTATATATGTATATATATATATATATATATATATATATATATATATATATATATATATATATATATATATATATATATATATATATATATATATATATATGTATGTATGTATGTGTATACATATATATATGAATATATATATGTATATCTATCTATGAATCTATCCATCTATCTATCTATCTATGTGTGTGTGTGTGTATGACCCTCCTCCTGAGACCTGATTCAGATCTTGTTCTTATCATCTTCCTACCATTATACGGACGTCAGAATTCTTTCCTCGTATCCCTTTCGATTTATTATTTGTCTGAAGAGGAACTGGCGAAGAGTTTGAAACGTTATATTTATTTTCAATTCTTACTGTAGCTGTTTTCCTTTCATGTATGTATATATATATATATATATATATATATATATATATATATATATATATATATTATATATATATTATATATATATATGTATGTATATACACACACACACAAACACACACACA